CCCCAAAACCCCAAAACCCCAAAACCCCAAAACCCCAAAACATTAAGATTCTAGTGAAACGTTTTAAAGTGTATTTGGAGCATTTTACCGAGTTATTAGACAAGCTAGAATCGTCAGCTACTGGCTTTGGATCTACAGAAAACTTTTGAGAGATGAGACCTATATCTAAATAACAGCAGACCATACTTTAGATTTTTCCTCCTCTGGTAATGAGCTTATTAACTTCGAAGGACTCTGAATGTTTGCACCTAGATCAATTTAGATCAAAAATTTTTATTCTGATACCTTTTCTCAGATTATTCATTTTCGGAACAACTTTATTATGAAAGTTTGCTTTCTCTTCTTCTTTTAAAACTACAACTTTGGATCTAGTTCTAGCCTCTACCTTTTTGCTTTGTTTTCTTTGAAGAAATTGATAGAAAATCTATGATAATAAAATTAGAGACTTTGATAAATAATGCAGCAAATTTGAAGTTTAGTTACCTTTAGTAAGAAAAATATATTAATCAACAACCCCATTGCTGGGCCTGCTATTAAAGCATATATAAAAATATCTTCAGAAGTAGAATTCCAATCATTTTTTCCTTAAAGAAAACAAGTGATCAAGTCATTACTCAAAAATTTAGCTGATAAACTATTTCAATAATATCATCCTTAATACTGATAAAAGGTCTACCAGTTACTAAATACACCACTCCCAACAAATGAGTCATAACAAAGAGACCAAGCTTCACCATTGCTACTAAGGTCCAAAAACCTCCCTCTAAACCCCAAAACCACACTAACCACCCTTAACCCCTCTCTATTCCCCAAATACCCCCTCTTCCATCCCTTAAACCCCAACCCCCTTATTCTCCACTCCTCCCACACCCCAGCCACAGCCATGACTACTGAAAGTATTCTGGTCTTCACTCCTGAATATAACTCCTTGGTCAGACTAGGGTGCTGACTGGGAGGTTTGGAAATGGAGTTGTACTGAAGAGGGAAGGGGCCTGGGTGGGGAAGGGGGTTTGGAGAAGAGGAATAGGGGGAGGAGGAGGGATGTGGATGTGGAGAGTGTCTTTTGGGGTGTGGTGAAGTTTGGGGTGGTGAGTTCGGAGGTGGTTGAGGTGAGAATGAACATTAGAGATTCGAGCATGGATCTGAGGTAGATGGAGAATTGGAAGAAGTTCAGTAGTTTTAGGAGAATTGTTTTTCGTTTTGTGTTAGAAGGAGTTTTCTTTCATGCACAGCTTATTCATAGAAGGAGAAGATGGAATGTCATTAGAAAGATTAGAATTCAAAGTATTGGGAGGGTATTTATTAATGAACTACCACTTCTGTATCCAAGATTTTCCAAGTATGAATCTTCTTGAGGATATGACATTCAATTGTTCAAAGTTCAAAAAGGCCAAATTATCCTTGTCTGCATAAAATCAAAAGAAAGAAGTGTAAAATCCATACCCAATATTACATTGGCTACTTTTGCTGTGAGAAAGGAGCCAACCATAGGCAATAAAGCATAGAGCTGAAGTTGGTTAATGATACTATAAATTCCATTAGGTGAAGATAAAGAAGTTATTGAAGTAGCAATAGTAGCTATGACTCCAATACTAAATAAAGCTTGTACAAACACCGTAGCTTCTGTGTTCTCAACTTTGTTACATCTCCCATTTGTTGGTGATTCAGAGTATCCAAGGTCACATTCTTGTCAAAGTGAGTAATTCCCTGAGCTTCAGGTCTTACAATTATTAATTTCACAAGGACCAATATAGATATAAAACTTTTTGAATCTTGCTTCTCCTCCTGACTCTATCTTTAGTGAAAATTTGTATAACTTCACCTCTTCTACAACTGGAGTTTTGTTTAAGGCAAGCTCTTCATCTATAAAGAATAAAATATAAGAGGTCATCTTATAGTTTAGTTTGCGTAAAATCAATATGGCTTAAAGAGAGTTTTAGTAACAAATTTTAAGCTTTGGCATTCAAAACGATCACTTATTTAGAATCAAAAACTGAGCTTACTAATCTGATTATTGTGTTCCTTCATAGTGTCAATATAGACCCAGTCTGGGATAGCCTCGCCATCAAGTTGGGATAAGCTAAAAATTATTGTTGTAACATTGAGTGGATGGCTTCATGCCCAGGTAAAATTAAGATTGACTTTACTATCAGCCAAAATATTTCCTGTGTAATCTTCATTATGATAAGAAGTCATATAAGTAAGAGATTGAGAATCTACTAAATCACCCACAGTTGTTGCTATCGATCCAGAAGCAGAAAAAGTCTGTGTTGTGTAATTCAAAGGAGTCGGAAATGAATAATTTTGGGCAAAATATTGTGTGCTCACATTCACCCGTGGGCTACTTTTGCTCTCTAAAAGAGTCAGGGTATCAAGTTGGTCTGCTCTCATTCTTTTAGACACAAATTTTGGGTCATTTTTGCCACTCATAAACAATAAAAAAGTACCTTGATAGACAACTTTATTCATCCCTAAAATATCTGTTCCTGTACTTTCAAATTCTGAGATAGGAGATCCTGTTATGGGATCAAAACAGGAGATCATATACTTGATGGTTGCATCATTAATATCAAAAACGAGTATAAGGTAATTATCAACCTCTAAAATTGTCCAGACTTCTCCTCCATTTGATGAGTGATAGGCTCCTGGAGTCACAGGATTTCCAGTGATAGCATCAAGAACATAGAAAAAGATTACATTGTTGAATGATATCATCGTATAAATAAAAGATCCATTATCGCTGAGTATGGATTGGCTTGGAGTTGAAGTTCAACCAGTTGCTGGACATCCGATCAGTTATGCCTACTCAAAATTTGATGGAGAAGAGAAAGTTGTAGCCATTAGATAGTAGTCCCCTGATGTTCCCTTTGTTGTTCCAATGAAAAGTTTGTCCAAAGTGATTGGAAAGAAATTATGTAACATTTCTGACCCATAATCAAAACACTGCATAGAGTAACCTGTCTGGGGAACTCTACAAATCTTACAAGTATTATTTAATACTGAATAGACAAGAAAATTTGTGAGGAAACTATTAATTTAGTTTTCCTTGTGTTCACAATTCCTCCTATATTAATCTCCCTTGCTATCTCTAGACTATTTGGATCTATTTCATTGAAATAATTAGTGTACTCGACTTGAAAATAGATCAGTGAGTTGTCGCCTATTGAGAAACTTCTTTCAACACAAGGCTTATAATAAACTCTAGCTGCTAAAATGTCTAAATTCAGATTGGTCTTGATAATCCCTGTATTGTTAGCAGGATTGGAAAATTTCATAGTGAAGTATACCGAATATTGGTCAGGAGAAAGCATCACAGAGTACATATAACCATAATTTATGTAAGAAATCTGTAATTCACCAGTCACTTCTTCTCCATTCATAAGTTGTTCTTGACTGGAGCATACCTTCGCACCTGCCTGTGTAAGCATGACATAAATAAGAATCAAAGCTGTTTTGAAGATCATTAATTAATTATATAACCCAAATCTAAGATGAAAATTTTAAATATTTCTGTCTAAATTGGGGTTTTGGGGTTTTGGGGTTTTGGGGTTTTGGGG